AGTCTGAAGTGCAAACTGGAGGTAAGTCCGCATAGCAGAATAGGCTATTGAGGAAATTACAGGGGCGCAAAGGTGGGAAAATAACAACCCTGTCATGAAAGGAGAAGCTAAGCAAAGCATCTCTAACAGCTATGTAAATAAGTAGGCAGAGTGGTGAAAAGCCCATATGATTAGAATTCATAGCTTTTACAATCTGAACATGGCACACATTGTGCACAGCTGCTTCAGGCCAATAAGAGAGCCATCTGAGTGTCCAGAGCAATGAAAAGGTAGCTGCACAATGAAGGATCACTTCAAAGAACTTGTAAACAATGGTAGACCCATTTCAATCATGTGTGCTGGTAGATAATCAACTAAAAATAAACACATCCTCCTACGTTTCAAACATCACTCACCAGGCGTGGGCAGACCAGGACGCAGCCAGTGAATATTCACATCAAAATAAAACATTTATGCTAGAAATAAATGTCAAATGAGATCTAATTTAGCATGAAGTCTAGCTAAAGGTCCTGCAGATAGCATCTTATACACTGAAGCATCTTGACGGGACATCTGTCATTGCTTAATGTGCTTCTGCCCCGTCTTCATGGATTCCCTCTGAAAGGTCACCAGTGAAAGCTTTTTAATACCTCCTAGAACAATCTGCATCCGCATTCTACGACCCGAAAGACACACAACATGTTCTAAATCCATCTGCTCTTCCTGCAAAAGAGCAAGAAGGCAAAATATCTAAAAGAACTATCTACTATGGAGGCATCTAAGGGCAGAAAATATCTAATATATCTACACTACAGCTACAGTTGGATCACCAACGCTATTTTAGCTTTAGCTCATGCTCACCTCATGCCACCCCCACCGCTGCTCCAAAAGAGCAAAGTATTTAAATAATATAATCGGTGGGGCTGAAGTAGAGGTGCCTAGCGACCTCCAGGCGGGTGTAGTTGTGGAGGATCCAGGCCTGTAAGGGGCTGTTGTTACAGTACTCCACGGTGGGGCCATAGGTGCCATCCTCCAAACGGCTGATGGTCAGGCATGATTGGGTGATGATGTGGAGGAAGGTGTGTTTCTGCACGGATCCAGAAAGGAAGAGGGACACATGGTTTTTGAAAGTAGGGAAGGTAATTATTTATACCAACAAATTGGAGTGTCAGTTTTCACAGTACATGTAGATTTTCTTTATGTTTCCGTCATACATTTCTCATTAAACCAGACCAAAGACCAGATGAACACTGGATGAACACTAATATATCTACCAACACTTATAAAAACTATAGAGAACCAACACTGGAGGAGAACATATCTGAGCCAAGCTACCTTTTTAACATCCTACATTCATTTTTTAATATCTGTCAACAGGAAAAAAGAACTACAATTTATTTTGATTAATTTGAGTATGTATGTATTGGTATGTATGCTCAAACAGTTGCATACAGGGTATTATTGTTGGAAATACTACTTCTTTAATGAGCTAGAAACAGTACATATAACAATAAAATAATTTAACCTAATCAGATTTTATTGCTTTAAAAATAATTTTAATTAAGAATTTTTTTCTTAATGAAATTGAAATGTTTGTTTTAATAAAAAATGGCATAGTTAAAGTTTTCTTTATCCTGATGAATAATCAACAGAATAATCTAATAATAATAAAACCTTTCAAAAAGTTGATTTATGTCTTGCATGCTTCCCATTTTGCTTTGATGATTTATTCTTTCTTAAAGGCAACTCTTTGTATTTGAAAGACCCCTTGCCATCATCTTTAGCTCATGGTAGATAATTAGATTGGAATTCTGGCTTGACCAATCCAAAGAGATTATACGTTATTTAGTAAAAAGAAAGATTTTGGTCAAATGTAAAGATTACGTGCATTAACCTGAATCTGGCTCAACAGTAGGTAAACAAATCGCTGTAAATAAGTTTGCTCATATTTGAATAATTGCTCATAACTGCTCATATTTAAATAATTTAAACATAAAAACCTTAAATAAAATCTGCATTTTGGAGTCATAAGTTTGTATTTCTGTTAAACAAAATTATATATATATATATATATATATATATATATATATATATATATATATATATATATATATATATATATATATATATATATATATATATATATATATATATATATATAATGCAAAAATTGTGAAAAAAGTGACATGTTGACAGAATTTTAACAAAAAAAGAGACGATTGCCAAAAAAGTTATAACAGTTCAATTATGGCAAACGCATCATAACATTTCAAATGAGAAGAAGCCATATTTTTCAAAGGAAACACAGGAGTATCAGAAACTAAATATAAGAAAGTGAGCTGATGAGCAAATTAATATTTCAGGGTACTCCAGCGACCAAACATTCAGTCCTTATCAGTCACACCTGGGCTAAAAATAACCCTGAATCCCCAATAGTGTATACCAGTATGAAAGACTGGTTTGCTTTATTCATCATTTATTCAGACTTTTTTTTCCCACTTTAAGAAAGCGCCCTGAGCACATGTCGTAATTAAAGAATTCCTCATGGGGTTTGATCAGTGCGTGATGGAAATGGCCTGTGGGCTTCTTTGCCTTGCCATATTGACACGCAAGCCATGTGACAAGTCAATCACTCACAGATTAGACTGCAGGACCTTTAAAGCATGTCCCCAATGATTTCAAAATGCATAAATAGTTAAAACAAAAATGGGTTTTGGAGTTGTATAAGCTGATATCTTTTTGACCAGTCAGGCAACAGGGCTTAAGAAGGCTTAGGGAGGAATATTTTTTACTTTTCCCATGAGCATAAAATGCATTGTTGTGTCTTTAACAACATCTGATTCCTCATTCGACTGAATATTAAATTTGCATTTTTCACACACAGGAGTATACAGTAAAATGAAACTTTAGTGTTTAATATCCAGTGTGAACCAATATCATTCATCTTACTGTTATTTTTTCCTCTGGCTCTGAAGAACAACAAATAAAAGTTCTAAAATAGATGTGCAATTGTGTAATTTAAAATCTGTATTTTCTCTAGTTTGTAGAACATGGTGACAAAAGACCCCTAATGCACACAGATTTTAACTTTTTTTTAAAGCCTTCTTAGTGTATTTTAATCATTTAGATTTTAAGAGGTTATGTTTGATTTTTAAAGCAATGTTTACAAAAAGATATGTGTTTTTGTATCATTATTTGCTTTCAATATCTTGATCAGTAGAGAAAATACAAGGTTCAATTTAAGTTGTTTCATAAAAGAAGATTTTTACAGGTTTTTGGCCTGTTGAGAATTTCTAATTAATAACATTTAGATGTAAAGAGCTTCCCATATAGATTTTTAGTTCAATCCTTAGAACCTGTGATTCTCTAGGGTCACCACAGGCTATCACAGCACTGGGAGCACAGGATACGAGTTAATCTATTGGAAGTTAAAGGATGGAGAATTTAGACAGCTTACCTCAAAATCATACTCCCACTTGCCAACATACTATATGAAATGAGAGAAGATGAGAGGAGACACAGCTGCTGGATGGAAATAGCAACTCAACACTGTGCTGTGTCAAAAAAAAATATAGAAAACCAAAAAACAACGCCATCTAGTGGCAGAAAAATTTTTTACTCCATTTTCTATTGCTTCTACAGTTTTTCTCTGTTGCTTTAGTACATTTATCAGATGAAAAACTGCTAAGCTGTTAAAAGCTACTTATTAAATTTTCACATTCTTGTGTCTTTGGGCACAAAAGCAGTTTCTTTGAACAAGTTGGAATTGCTTTGGAACATTCATGCAAATATTTATGTACAATTCAGCTGTTTTACCACATTATTAGTCGCGCTGTTTCAATGTTATGTTCAGCAAAATACATTATATTGGGTCCCTCATAGTCTCATCCGTCACAACATTTAGACCTTAGTTCATCATATAAATAAGTTGTCATAATATGTCAAGCCTATATTTTTATTTTTATTAACTTCTGTTCTAAAACTGTCCTTAATTTGCAAAAACCCAAATTCATATGAAGCTTGAATTTTACTAATAGAGAGAAATTTTGAAGCAATAGATCAACCAGTAATTGGAAACAGCCTAAGTGTGCATCACATGAACCATCAACTGGCAAATATACAGTCGGAGCTCAACACAATGTGACAATGTCTGATAAATGGAGAGGGAAGGACTTGAATGGGGTCAACGACAAGCAAGAGGATGAAGGGTGAAGCTGCATGGCAGAGAAGAGGGAGGAAGAATCTGAGGAAGCAGAGGACATATGAGAGTTCCTGATGAGATAAAAGCCACAATTTTAGAGCACCTTCTCAATCATGTGCTCACAAGTGGCAGGAGTTGGTCAAAGAGTGCAGTCATATGCTTATAGAAGAAATGTGTCATCAGACGTTTTATCAACATAACAGGTATGTAATTCCTAACTGTATCAACAGTTTTCCCTAAGGAGACCATCCTGAATCCAAATTTTCAGTTTTGTTTTTGTTCTTTATAGTGCTGTCTTTTCCTTTCTATGGTGCAATAACCCAGTCAGTCAACAAAGCACAGTACAAACAGTAAAACCGTAAATCAGAATATTGTCCAGTTCCTTGCAATCGACTCTATATGCATGATAAAATATCAGTAATCACTAATCATACACAGAAGTCCAGCAATAGTTCATAAGAAAATCCCTCCAGAATACACTGGAAACATCATTTTACTGTCTAATAAACAGAGTGAGAAAATTACTTTTATTCAGATGGCACCAACATGTTTACAGACAGATTTTTAGTTTTGAAAGATGAGGCAACCTTTTGCAGGTAATCAATGGTGTTTTGCTCTGTGTTCAAATTGTTTTGTGAAATGCACAAACTATCTACAGTGTAACAAAAGTTCAGGATGATTCAAGAAATGTAGCAGAGCAACAGAAAATATGGTATAATAATAACCCACTCCTTTAAATTTAAGGGGAAAAAATCATCAGGGGCCAGATGGACCACCTACAACTGCTTCATTTAGTCCCTGCAGTAAACACAGATCGTACCTCGGTGTCGTACTCAAACATCTGGTTTCCCTTCATGTGGTGACACTTGAGCATTTTGACGGGTCCGTTAAGCCTGGAGACATCCAAACAAAGGTCATCCGTCCGGATTTCTTTATCCGCTGTATATGAAAAGACCTGAGGGTTGCAACATGAAGATTAAAAACAACTAATTTCATTTAAAATACTAACTTTTGGCTGCAGTGGAGAGTTTGAATACATTCAACTGGATCAAAGTACTTTCTAGGCTGAGAAAAGTCATTTTAAATGTTCCTTCAACTGCAGGTGTGAAAACAAACCTTTAACAGGTTTTATCCCGCTAAATGAAGCCCTTCATCTTTGGGTATTTAAAAAGTGCATCAGTTGTTTTTTTTCATGATGTTTAAAAATGAAACAAAAATTGTTATACTAAATAATCCAAATGCCATGTATATATTATTTCAATTAGATTTATTTTTTCTGAAGATTTTTACAGCTAGAACCAACTTCAAAACACTATCATACATCTGAAGGATCTGTAGAAATTACCACAGTCATTTCTATTTGTTAAATGCCAAAATAATTAGAGAACTTTTTGTCACACTCTCCATATTCTGGTCATTTTGAACACAAAAATTACTCATTTTTTAAAAATTTTGGAAAATGCCTTAGACTTATAAGCTTCTGCTTAAATCAATTTGAGTTTTTTTTTGTTAAACTTGTGGCATCAAGTAAATCTTAATTCGTTCTCATGTGACATCTATGTTATGTTATATATTCCCTAAGTAATATTTCCTGATGCCAGATCTGTACAAATGACAACATCCAGTACTCGAAATGTTCAGCAAAGATACTCCATCAGGAAGAACATTATATGGGAACATTGAAAAACATGAAGTTAAAGTCAGGCTAATAATGCTTCTTAATGCAGCTGATGAAAATTAAGTAAGAAGCACCTTACTAAACAGGTTTGCAGAAAAACTATGAAATCAATATGCATCTTCAGTAGAGTCAGACATTTTATTAACCATTCCTGTATGTTGAAGTTATATTATGTTTCAAATATTCACATTTTATTGCAATTGTGCGTGGGTGCTACATGTCAATCATATCTTCATAAGATTTTCATTCATTCAAAAGAGATTTTTATAAATAATGAATTTCTCAAATAGCCTCTCCTCATATGCTCTTTTTATAAAAGGCAACATTTTGTCCATATTTAATGGAGACATATATTGTATATGTCTGTTTATGTAAAAATGTGTGCATTTAATTACCGATTTGCCAATAGTTTTTCCATAGCTTATTAAAATATTCTTTTGAGACTCAAACCTATTTAACAAGACATTCTGGGGATTTATGCTTATCATTATGCAACACATCTCTTAAATATAGAGGACCTTTTATGTGGAAAATACTACCGCCAGCTCTTCCATCCATAACTACATATTTTTCTTATAAAAGTTATGCTAATCACAAATTGTATATAACATGCATATTTAATACATTTGATATACTGACTTGTCTTTTTGTGCTGCTGTGAATTATTACATTAGCAGTGGTGCCTTATAAGACCCTAGGGCCTTTTTAACCTTTCCTTTAAACTGTGTATTATTGTTGTTAATATTTTTGTATGTGAAAATAAATCTAAATCTAAATGGACAATGAACCTTAGCAATGGGCCAATATTCTAGGAAACGATCGGGTAGAAAGTTTTTAAGAAATAACCAAGTAAAACAGTTAAAAGGCGAAATAAAATAATCTCCCTCATCATTGTGGTTTATAGCAAATGGAAATCTTTTTTTACGGACTACTGAAGGCATATTTCTTTGATAATACGCTGCTGCTTCATGGATAAATTACAGTAGATGGTGGACAGCTGGGAATCTGGTAGGTGATTGAAGGAATGTTCGTGAGCATTTCTGATTTACATCTGATATAAATGACATGAATACATTCTAAGAAGCTGATAAAAATAAAAATCTATAGAATTTTAAAAGTGGCAATTTTTTATGAATTAAAAAAATTACATGTAATAATGCGATATATAGAATGTTTACAAGATAACCAGTGTTTTCACTGAACAACATGTATAAAAGGCTGTATCTAAACCTGCTGTATCTAAAAATAAAGTTGCTCTCTCACCTGGTTGCCACCCATGCCATGACAGTTGAAAAAGCCAACTTTCTCATTCTCCTTCCGTCCCATGTTGTCCACACACTGGTTTGTCTCCACATTTCTGATCTGTAGGCAGATGCATAACAGGAGTTTTTTGTTTTGTTTTATTCTTTATTAAAATCAAGAAAATTAACCTCTGTCCACTGTCCTGTCTTCAATGATTCTACCATTCAAAACAACTACTTTTAAAACCATCATACTGAAAACTTTATATTGTCCTCTAGTTGGTTAGTTTTGTAATTTTAAACTTCTCAATTAAGTTAACAGGTCAGTCAAAGATTTGAATACATCTTCCTGAAAACCAAAGATAGACATCTGATGGTGGCAGTGATGGAAGCCAGCTCCAACCCAGATCTGTCAGGAGCATTTATCAAACCAGAAATGTAATTTCTTTGATAAAACATAAGAAAATTAAGTATATTCAAGCTGTTTAGCAAAACTAATAAGATGGGGCTACAGGTAAATCAACACTTCACGCACTTTTATTGCCATTTTCTCCCCTTTCTATGGGATTTGCTTCCTTTTAAAGAGGAATTTTATGCATGCACACTGACATGAATTGCATGTAAATTTATATATAAATTTGGCTTTCTAGAACTGGAAGAGCAGCGGACAGAGTGCACCTATAGACATGACCTCGATCTCTCTGTGGACTGAATGGCTTCAGATACTTAGTGCAAGGTCTATGGAGGCATGGGCAAAAAAATCGTAGTATAAATGTTTCCGTTTATATTTCCTTTTTCATTATCTAAAATAAAACATACATAACTTTACATTAAGAATACAGCTGTTGTCTTTGATATACCACATCACAACTTAGGCTCATTTTCCAACCCACTGATCACAATTGTATTTGAATTACTGACATTTCCCTTTCCAAAGGCCATCTCACCTGTTCAGCTTGTAATTATTCATAGCCATGGTAGATTAGCTGAACATTAGAGTGAAGGTAGGCTGGCTTTCCAATCTCAAAAACTAAAAAGAAAAATTTATGATAATTAATCAAAATTATGAGTAATAACACCCAGAAAGAAGGTCAATAAAAAATTATATGCATTTAAATATCTAATGGTAATTAAGAAGGATAAAAATATTTTTTGAAAATATTGCAGAACCAATTTTCCTTTTCTCATTCATTTGTAAAAAATAATTTTGGTTTAGATATCAATTTAATATTTTTGAAAGAAACTGAAGATATCAAAATGTAGTATCATTTATTATGATAAGAAGAGTCTTAAATCCTATAAATCTTTCATTATTTTTACAGTAATCTAATCACCCCAGTTTGGCACTCTTTCCTTTAAGGATTTGCAGAACAGATAATAAAGCGTGGTTAAAATTAAAAAAATACACAGAATAGTTAAAACAATAACTCTCTGCTTTTAAATGCCTTAATGGTTTCTATGAGGTGTTAAAACATGTCATTGTAACCTCAAATCTAAGAAAGTAATAGACAACGCTGTCACCATATCGTTATTGACTGTGGAAAAAATTTTAAATAAGATTAAAAACAAATGAAAATAACACAAAGAAACTGTTTACGAAATGTGCAAACCCCAAAATTTAAAATCACTGTTCTTTCCTACACCATAAATTAAAGTTTTAATCAAAAATACATTATATCAAAGGAGCAATACTGCAATAGCAATACTAAGTGCTGAGTTCTGAGTTGCCCATGTTATCAAGTCCTCTTATGGCTTCTAATTGACTCAGCAGTGTCTTTAACTGCTGCGTTTGTAGCGCTTAACAACTAAAACGACACAGTTAAGAAATACTAAACCCAACATTTACAGCTGTTACAAAAAGGCTGATAGTGTTACTTTAATGGAGATCCAGCCTCAAAGAAGTCTGGCTAAAAGAAAAATTGCGACGAGAGGTGAAATAAACAAACTCATCTTTTTTAAAGTGACATGACAGCAAAAAGTAATGGTGAAAAATCCTCCTATCTTCAGCTGTTAGAGGATACTAAGCCTTTTTATTCACACTACCTTTTAAATGGCTATTTCAGGCAATTTAGGGCTATAATGACTATAACAAACTCTGCATTGGAACAGACATGCATAAAAAAAGGCAAATCGGGTTACTAAAAGTTAGCAGGTGCTTAAACTTGTAATATCTTGCTAACTAAAAAGGTCTTATCTTAGCTGAAGATCAGATACATTGGTTCCCCTGCGACAGACACACTTTATTTATTTTGATATTTAGAAATAAAGACATTTTTAAAAATGGGGTTTTACTAGCAGAGCTGAGATCAGAGACATAGAGTTGACCTCAATCCCTTATTATGCAAAAAATAAATCTGCAAATGTCTCAAAGATCAGTGGAGCAACCATCCAAGCGTTGTTTGTTACAGGTGCTCAATACCAACGATCAGGCGTGTCTACTTTTATCTTTTTTCTTAATCTTTTCTTTGTTCCACAGAATTTCCCATTTATCTCATAGTAATATTGTCTCTTTGAAAACATTATACACAGCACCATCGCAGTAAATCAGAAATCAACCCTAAAGTTCAAGTATCTTCGGATTTTAATTCATAAAGTGAAAATTTCACTATGTATGTATATATGTATATAATAGTAGTTTCTTTTTTTAATCTAATTAAATAAGACCAATAAAAATAATTCTAAAATAGATATAAATCAGGAAGGACTGATGACTTGAAAATTTACTCAGCATGCAGTCAATGAAACCGTGGGAAGGAGGGTGAGCCACAGAATGTTGCTGCTGAAGAAACCGGGTTCTAAGACTGCAAATTAGAATATATTCCCAGATTTCCTTTTTTGCTTTTTAACCTGAATTTTCTCATTTTAGGATATTGCCATTTTATAAATAAGCGCACAATGCTTTTTCCTCCTGAGGTGTTTTTTTTTTTTCTCTTTTCATATATAAATCAACTTTCAAAATCTTGTTAATTTTCACATAATTTACTCTGGTATGTACCTGTAATCGTTTTTCTATCTTATACTTTTGCCACTGTCACATTTGAATTGCTTCACTCTGGGACAGTACAAGTTGTTTCTATTCCATTTAAGCAAAGGTTTAGTGGAAGGAAAAAATTTGGTACCAAAGCTTTCAGAGGACTATGATGCAAAATTGCACAAATAACATCTTTAAAGGCCAAGTAAACGTTTTTGATCAATTGCATTTAAACCAATTAGATGAGTGGCTGAATGATATATTACCTATTGTTAATTAAGTTGAATGAAACAAGTCAAGAAAAAAGGGGTAAAAAGCTAATTAAAAAGTTAAAACGTAAAGTTAAAAAGTTAAGAAGCCTAGTTAACAATTATATTTAGCTTTATAACTAAAACATGTAAGTGTCAGTATCAGCATTAATGCCTCTAAGGTTATGTTGTACCAAAAAAGACAATTTTTCTTTCACTCCGAGTGTTTTGCATGAATTTCTTTTAGAAGCCCTTTTTTTATATATATATTCGGGCAAGTTTGAGTTTCTTGTTATCACACTGATATGCATTTTTGCCATCAGAACATCCATATTTTTTTAATGTTACAAAGGTAATAAGGTCTTGTCCTGGATTCCAATAACACTATTGGCTTGAAATTTTGATTTTTAAAGTATTTCACTGATTGCCCTATAAAGTGTTAAGACCAAAGGAAAATTTCAGGACTCAGGACACAACCATCTTATTGTTTGTGTTAAACCAATCCTTAACCAGGATTAGGATTGGTTTGATTGTTGCTTGGAGGTGTAATATCTTCCTTTCTGATATCTCCCATTGTATTTAGAAATAGGAGTCTGGGCAGAGTGGCAAAGAATCCCAGTTGTCTCTGAAAACCCTTTGTGACAATTAGAGGAGCCATATGATCGGCTGGTATTGGTTCACTAGGCTGCATTAAGTCTAAAGTCCCTGCAGCAGTTAACCATGACATTTTGAAACACCTCATGCTTTCCTCTGCCAACATGATTTATGGAGAGGCTTATTTTCGGAGGTATAATAAAAAGGAAGATGAGAGACACCAGATTCAGCTGTCAGGGCGCATGAGTCGAGCCACTGGTTGACTGCATCCATGGCACACTGAATTTCAAAACTAATTCCTGCAAAATTAGTTCTTAGTAAATACTGATTATATAAACTGTATAACAAATACAAAACTTTTTCTTTTAATGTACCTTATGTATTATTGTAAATTAAGAAAAATACATAAATTAGGGTTTTCCATTAGCCAACAAAAAATGTATTATTGCTATGTATGTAATAAATTTATGAACAAGTGTAACACTTTGATTTCTAATACTGATATAAATTCACTTTTTGAAGATATTCCCATTTTTATGAGAGGAACCTGTATCAGACAAACTGCAGACAAAAAACAAACAAACTACAGAACTAAAGTATGCGGGTCCTCATACTTCACCAATTGAGTAGTATCTTCTTGGGATCTGGGAGTCTGGATAGATGTTCTCTAGATACCAGGAAAATGGTTTGCACCTCAAGGCCTCTCTAAGAGCTTTGCGGGAGGAGACGTCTCCATAGTCCACCCGCATCACACCTGCAGGGGCCAAGAGAGGAGATATACATATTTATTCAGAGCAGGCCATCAGGCTGAATCATATTTCCCAGCTCTGTTTTCTTGCATCACCATAAAGAAACACAAGAGGGCCTCTCCTCACCAACATGTCAGCCCTTAAAAAACGTGTTTGCCATGTGGGTAATTAGAGGAGGATTTCCTTTTAAGTTATGCATCATTAACCTGCCTCCTGGGCCTATTTTACACATAGACATCTACCAAACAGCTGCACTGTTTAGGTTAATGCTGCTCTCAGAAATAGGTTTTAAGCTGCCAAATAAAAACAGCCTGATGTATCAGCGCTGTTGAAACTGAAAAGAAGGGAAGGATTAGACAGCAACTGGGCACAGACACAAACACATCGAGCAGATGGTTTGTCTTGCAGTGCCTCTTGAGGAGCTATAGCTCACGTGCGGATAGATACGGGGTGGTAATTTATTATGAAAGAGCTTGATTGCAAAGGAGGGAAAACAGCACTTCTTTTTCTTTAAAACAGGCACAAGAGTGTGACCATAAACTGAGTGCTGCAAAAACCAATCAAATAGAAAGGGACAAGCACATTCATATACCAAACAAATGTTAACAATCGAGATTTATTTACAGTCATTTGAAAAAAACATTTATACTGCTTGATTCTTGATAAATTAGAACAACAAATAGTATTTTACTGAAATTATAGTTGCAAGGCACTGCCATCATAAGTGCATTTATTTTAGAAGCTGCAGTTATCCACAGTTAAAGCAAGAGGGAACCCCAATGTTAAAAAGAAGTTATAAAATGTGTTAGACGACATGCAAGGGACACCGCAAACGTGGCACTGTGTTCAGATGAGATAATTTTTTGTTAAAAATGCAAAATACTCTATAGGGTAACAGTATGGTTAAGAGTTAACCTGAAAAAGACTAAAGCATGGAAAAGAGGGACTCTTCGAAAAAAAGGCCTTAAAATACAGCCAGAGTAGGAGTGAAGTGTTTCATATCAAGGCATATTCATGTGCTAAGATCATCCATTCAAATCAGAAACCTGATTTCTGTCTAAACAAATGTGGTAAGACCTGAAGACAACTGTTTAAATAGTCTATGATCTGATGAGCCTCTTAATTGTACCTGTTTTTGTTATTGTAGGGAACTAAATACTTATATTTGCAAGAAATGTTGAAAAACATGTCTTTCTTTATTTCTATTTAATCGTGCAGGCCACTGTGTCTATCTGTCACTCAAAATTCCCATGAAATACAAGGCAGTTTTAAGTTGGAGTATAGGAAATAGAAAAAGTCTGTGTGGTGTGAATACTTTAGCAAGGCACAGGGAGGGTAGATCATGTTTCAGAGAACAAAAAGCTTCTTTGATCCTAAAACATGTTGCAAAGAACAAAAAAGGAAGCAATTACTTGTTTATTGGTATGACTACAGGACTCTCCAAAAAAAGAGGCTTCTCTGTGCCAATAAGTGAGCTCTGGCAGCAGCACGGCTCAAATCATCCACAATAATGTCCAGGAGGAACAGAAATGCATTGTGGGGCCACACTGCACAGCAAAAGTCATCCATCACAACGCCTGCTCTGTCTGCACACCTGTCCATGGAGAGCCCTGCCTGACCGAGCTGCAGAGAAGGTCACAATTTGTGCAGGAAGATCTGCAGATTAAGGATGATCCCTTATAGGTTGGCAAGCCATCTAGAACACTTAGCCAGAGATTTCCGGAAAAGCGATTTCTGCTAAAGGGTAATCACATTACTGAGGCAACAGATTGAGGGGTGCTCATCTCTCAAGCTGCACAGTCCTGTTGCTCTAGTTTTTCCATATGCGCCAAAATTCTATTGGAGAGAGGGCCAATTTTGACAAATTTCTGAACTTGAGTTCACAAGAGCTCCACAAATGTGTCTGAAAGCAGAAATGAATTAGGCGTATTTAAAGATGACAAAGCAGCCTTATATTCCGACATATGAACCGAGAGAAATGTGAATTATTAAATGGATGAGAAGAAAAGGACTCTATAAGAGAATAAGATAATAAAATAGAGCACAGACATCCTTTCAGAGCAATTTGCTAAATGTAATATCAGGGCGCCCAGTGAGGCTGGATAATGACTACCCTTATCTGCTTTTAAACATAAATGTGTGCTGAATAAAACATTAGCAAATCCTTTACTCATCTACAAATTCCTTCAAACCTTAACAACAAGTACCATTTCTAAATTGTCTAAGAGGTGCTTTTCTATGTTAAAAGCAGCAGAAATTTTTGGTTACTCTGCAACAGCTGCTGTGTTTTGTACCTGGTGAGATGATGTAAAAGAAGTCTTTGAATTCGTCCATCCAGACTTCAGCCAGCCGTCGGTTGTTCTTGTTGATAACTTGGCCAGTACCTCCAGGAAAGCTGTATGGCGTGGCCTTGCGGAAAACGTGCCCAACATGTGAGCATGTTACAATTTCCAAGGAACCGCCACATTGCCAGATCTAAAAAAAGCATTTTTATGAAAAACAAAGTCTCAACTATAGAATGCAATACAAACCACAGTTACTGGTGCAACCTGTAAAGATGTAAAATAATAAAACTAGAATCTGCTGATTATAGGAATAGTATGATTTTCCTAGAAAATTTTAAAAATATCCATCTGTTGTTTTGACTACATTTATTAAGTGAGGCGACACTGAAAGGAAAACAGAATCAGGATTTATAGCTACATCTAATGTTCCGGTACCACAATTACTGGCATCCTTAGAAATTATGGTAAATTAACTGAGCTGAACTAAAATCAAATGCATTTGATAAACACATTTTAAATAGTCAAAATTTGTGTTGCGCCGATACCATTTTTTGGCCCCGATACCGATACCCGATACCTGTCTGTGCAGTATCGGCTGATACCGATACCATAATAATGTAAAATAATTGCCATCATGGCTTTGTCAAGCTGCTGCCTACCTTTGTGAAGCAGGAACAAATCTAATACAAAGTGAATCCAGTAGAACTTTTTATTGCCTACCAGGAGTGGGTGACAACAGTTGAATAAACTTACGGCTCTCAAAATGGTATCGGTCCCCTATTTGTTGGTACTCGCCGATACCGATACCACCATTTTAGGGCAGTATCGGGGCCCCGTCCGATACTGGTATCGGTATCGGTGCAACACTAGTAAAAATTAATTAAAAGCAATTCAAGAGAAAATGAACATGGCTAAATAAATTATAATTAAGGCAAAAAAATAAACTGAAGAAAGCAATTCTAGCATCACATTCAAAGAAAACAAAACAAAATGTAAAAGTAAAATTAAAAAGTAGCAAAGAAATTAAGATAAAATCAATTTTGACCTTGAAAAGCTGCAGAAACAAAGTTTTTTGTTCTGATTTAAATGGTTTTTTCATATCTCAGGTTATTATGGAGATGATTCCTATGCATTTCTTTAATTTACAGATCCAAGGAGTAGAACAAATATTTGAAAACATTTCAATTCAATGCATGACTTGGTTCCAAAATGAAAATGCTTGTAAATTGCAAAGGGAAAATGTCCTCGAAATTTCTCAAAATAAGTGAGACAAAAAATAATGGCACCCTAGCAAAAAAGCTACCTAGGGAGATACATTGCATGTATTTACTTAGGCTACAGATATGAACGTGTTTGGTATTAAGAAAAACTAAAAACTAATTTGCAAGGCACCTAAATTTGCCCCAAGTACATTTAGAGCAATAATTAGGCAGTATAAAAAAACTCTACAAAGTCACATACTGTAGGTCTCTTATCATCAAACACAAGAAGGATGTGAAGAAAGGTCAAACACATCTGCAGAGCTTGACATTATAGCAGCTGGAAAATAAACGTAGCATCAAACGCTGGAATTATAGTCCACTACATAAAGGCAGTGGCAGAAGCAAGAATAGTTTCCTTTTTGGAGATTTAAAAAAAAAAGAAATATGCACCCAAAGTGTGCAAAAGCTGTACCTAAATAACCAAGAATTCTTCAGCTTCTGGCTTGATTTCTGCAGGATGTTCAGCAGCATGTGCTTACTTGATCAATATCACCTTTCTGGCAATATGTAGGCAGCAATAATTTAAGCAGCAATTACTTTAATGTTTCATCTGTGGTCCTAACACCACAACCACTTGGGCATGTGCTGACAGGACAAACGATGACAGACAGAAAGTAATTAGATAAAATATTATATAATGTAAATGCATATAAGTGCAAATATTGTTGATCTTTAGTGATTTCATGACTAAAAGGAAATGGCCACTAACACTAAGCTGCCGAGAAGAATACCCAAAGTAACATTTAAAAAGTTTTTAACAACTGGAGCAATGTTTATCACTGTGCTGCAGTGAAAAGGAAAATAAGCGAGCTCACCATGTTTCCATAACAACCACTTCTTTAAGGGATTTCATACACAGGAGTCAATAAATGAAGAGTACATTAGAGTCTTGTGGCGTATTGGAGTTATATGATATAACCCAGTGTCTAGAGTGTTTGTGTAACTCTTCTGACTGACAGAGAAAGAGATATAGGTCTTTGCACACCTATCTTATGAATTTCAAGCAGATTGTACAATGGTTTATGTAAATAAAGGAGGTCTATAAAATATGCATGCAGGAAGAAGAACTAGTATGCTCTCTGTCATCATGTTCTCAGTCACTCACTCTGAAAGACATTTCCAGGTTCTCTCCACCCCATATATCCATCCCTGGATCATAGCTTCCAATTTCTTCAAAATAGGTTTTGTCTATGGAGAATAACCCTCCTGCCATTGTGGGAGTCCTAAAGAAGACACACAACAAATTACTGTAAAAACAAAAACCTGGTCTTGGTTAGACTTGAGCAGGTTAATAAGGCAAAGAAAGAAAAACAGATATACACATATCAGATATACAGATAACAGCATGGATTATTTATGTTTAAGCAAAATTGCATTCTAACCCTTTTTAGCTTTGGCAGAAAGTTAGTATTTTTTTCAATCCATAGATCAATGTAATGAAAAGACCACCACAGAGATGTATTTATGTTTTGGATAAAAAGGATAAAGAACTGCTTCACAGTAAAGTAGGGTTGAGGTACATGCAAGTGATAAAAAGTAGCAAGAAATCTGTAAAGACACTATGTACGTTTTTACTGAAAAATACCTTAAAAATAGCCTTTTTTGTTGACCCTTCACAACTAAAACATAGTTTAATGATCTGAATGACACCTCAGTAGTTCAGTGCTGATGCATCTATAAGCCTGTAGGTTATTTTCCTTAATTTACTTTGGGTTTGAAATTCTCGTGCTGTTCTGCGTTAGTGACATAATTCGAGTCCTTGTTAAATGCGTCTGGCCTGCAAACAATCTAGTCCATCTTGTGTTATATTCAAGATGGATTTTGTGGAAACTTAGAGGCTACCGCCATCCAGCTCAACTTAGACACCAATAGAAACTCCAGGTAAGGGGAAGAAAGTAAAAAAATAACTTGTTAAGTACTAGCTATGAGAACGAGCAGAAGAGAGCTGCAGTTCTCTGTTTTGGCCACATGTGCTGGTATCATTATAAATCTTCATAATGCTTCTTTAATCTGCACAACAGATTTTTAATTTGCAGGATATTTCCCCTAAAAAAACTTGCTTATAAAACATGTACAAATGTTTTTTTGTTTTTGTCCACCAGAAACAATTATGCGTGGAGCTGTGTATTCACGAAGTAAGTATTCTTAAGTGTCCTTTTGTAGCCAGAGAAACATTAAGATACAATACAAATTAATTTATTTTCTAAATTAAAACCACGTCATGGAAGAGTAAACATGTCTGGCAGTTAACTCATTGAATAAAAACTATTTGCTGATGAGAGTAAATAATAGTAATACAAAAGAGAATTTGCTCTCATTTTTTCTGTCAAAAAGTTAAATATGTAGCTACGTTTTATTATTCCAGTTTCAGATGAAAAAATAATTTATTAAAACTCCTGAGTGGAAGTACCTGACTGGAAGAGTTCGGTCTCCTTTACGTCGATCCATCTCCCGCTGGGGAACTGGGTACCACCGAAAGTTCAGCTTCCAGTTGAACCCACCATAAGTCATATCCGAACCCGCCATGTACTCAAATGTCTCATCGCTGATGACGTCTATGATGGGGCACACCACTGCTTTTCTGAAACAAATCATTTAGATAGGAATGACAAAAATCAAGAAAAAATAGGACAGGAAGTGATTTTTTGGACACACTCCTGTTTTCCTTGCGGATTTACATGTTTAGAGGCTCAGATGAAATGGAAGTCTACTTCATAAATCTAGTAAATTAGTGCTTATTATGCATTTTCTTTATGTCTATTTGATGCATCTGCAAGGTCTTGATAAAACAACAGTCTGGGGTATATAACTGCATATTTTCTGAAGAATGAACAATACCAGGAAATATATAAACTACCTTTCTACAGTGTATAAAATCCACTAATCCGACATGCACATTTGAAGACGATCCTTTCTTTAGAAACCTAAGCAAAACGTACCGATAAATAGAATAAAAAAATACCTTTTTGTGTGTCCTAAGATAAAACATTAAATGTTGCAAAACTTTATTTGAATTTTTGTAATTTCCTTTTTTATTTTTTTTTTATTTTTTAACAGTGTCCTGTCTGGCAATGTGGCAATAAGAATAATTGTCTTGATGCCAAAAAGAGCCCAACAGATTTTACTTTCACAAGTGTAGCAGTATGGCAATTGCCATATTGCTCCACTTGTTTCATGCATATAAATTGCTTTATTATAATTATGCAGGGAGTTTTACAGTTTATATGGACACTGCGATGTAAATAGAGCAGAAAAACAGAAGAAGAAAACGGAAAAAAAGAGAAGAAAAAAAAGAGAAAAGATGAAATAAAGAGTAGATAGAAAGGAGACAATGACTAAACATTTTTCAGTCTGCTTCATCACCTGTAACGAGATGAAAAAGGAACAGCGCAACCAAAAGACATGGTACGAGATATACAATAAAGCAACACCTTGAAACTATCACTAAAGTAATATTATTAAGTCTGACATGTACTCTGTGTTACCTGAAGATATGAATGTGGGGTTTCTGTTTGGAAGTGAATCTCTAAGTACCTGGAGCCAAGCACCTGTAATTGTTTGTGAGGGTGAACTTGTGCATGTAAAGTTTATCCATAGAAAAAATGCTCAATAGTGGTTGTGGAGAGCTGGAGAGGCACACCCCCCAGAGCACTGAGTCCAGCGCCGGGAGACCCAAAGCCCCAGGCGCCCAAAGGGACCCCAAGAGAGAAGGCTCCATTTTTTTTAAAACATCATCTTTAGAGGTTTAGACTGTTTTAACTTATTTAGGTTTTTCGTTGTTTTTAGTTTCTGTTTCTTATGTTTCTTGTCTCTCCTTATTTTGGCTGTTAATCCACTAATACATAACTCACAAATTACATCTTACCTCTTTTTTTCTTATTTATCTTACTATCAAGAAATCTTCTTTCCTGCTACAAAAAAATGAAAGGAAATTGCCGGTCTTGATGCCACCTAAAGTAGCCTGTCAAGTGTTGAAGCGTAGAAAGCTAGGTTGCAGAGGAAATAATAATACCTCCCTTTGCTGTGGACAGGGTTTCAACAGTGATTGATCACACAGCATCAAGCAAACTGCTGGCTATTGCTCTCTACAATAATACCATCGACAGGTGAATTTATGACATGTCAAAGGACATAGAGGAGCAGCGTAATGATAATGTTTGTCATGGACATTGTTCTGTAGATGGCTGAAGCCACTGCCAGCAGGAATGACTGAATACTGGTAACTTATGTCCAATTCATAAATTGAGATGAGATGATGGAGGAATTGCTTTTCTGCAACTCTTGGCAGAGCCACTGCAGAAGAACTGTAACTCTTCGAGTCTTCCCCGGAAGAAGTTAATCTAAAATGTGAGGAATGTTTGGGGATCTCTAAAGAAAGGGTGCATGCTATGGCTGGGAAATTATGAGGGCTGCAAGCAATCATCAGGCATGTCTCCCACAATCCGCAGTGGGTGCACTGCATGACGCATCACAGAACACTGACGTCAAAGCCGCTGAGAGTTAAGATAAAGGATGTTCTCTCTGACGTAATGGCCAATCGAACGCAACCAATCAAAGCTGACATCTTTTCGGAACTATGAAAGGAAATGGGCTCCAACATTTGAGCTGTTTAGTTTAAACATGGAAAGGTGCAGCTCAGGTTCTTTGAACTGTGAGATGAGTTTCACATCTGTTTGAAGGGAAAAGGCAGGTTTCTTGCCCACATATTTTGCTGCAGCAAGTTCTTCATAAACATTACTGATATTATAAACCAAAGAGGAAAAAGGTAAAAAAAAAAATAAAATAAAAAAAGAAAACCTGCATAATAACTTGGTTAAGAGCAGTTAATTAACTTTTAGATGAAACTGCTTATAGACTTCAAACAGAACATCTCTAAAAAATTCTTAATATTTGCAGGCAAGCAGAATGACTGCAAGACAAACTATCCACTGATGCAACCAATTACCATTCGGTTTGTATGACAGTTTCCTATGAAATAAATGTTAAAACCAAGCTATAATTCAAGGCCAAACTCTTCTAATCTCTGTTAATAGAGGCTAAAATTACCAAAAGTGTTTAAGATTGAACTTAAAGGTTAAAATATTCGACAGTTTCTGCTGATCAGTGTCAGAAATCCTCATTTTGGCTCCCACCTGTCCTCTCTGATACGAGCCAGCAGGGGCTCCAGCCAGCCCACTGTACACTCGCAGTGAGCATCCAGGAAGGTGATGACTTGGCCTGTGGTGACGGCTGCCCCCCTCAGCCTGGCTCTGATCAGACCCGAGCGCTGCTCCATCCTCACAATCTTCACCGGCACCTCTAGGGTCTGAACGTAAGTCTCCAGCTTTGCCTTTAAAAAGTCTGAAATAAAATAAAAATAAAAAGGAATCAAATTGTTCTGTTAACTGGCAGTTTTTGTCTATGGTTTTATAGATATTAGATTTTTTTCTTATACAGCTTAAATAGAAAATTTTGTTCTGTTTGACTTATCACACCTGAATTTACCCTGTGGGACGATAAAGGCATTCATAATTTATGCGATCTTACCACCTTTTACAGCAAAAGCTGAAAGATCCAAAAAAATGTATGTATTTGTAAAGCAGAATAAAATATCTTATTGTTTGGGTTAGGGGTTAAGAAAATACAGGCATAACCACATCATCACAATATATACCAATATTATAGTCATTATCACAAGATTTTCTAATATTGTGCAGCCTAGGCAAGTCTTTTCTATTGTGTAACTGCTGAATAAAGCATTTGGCATAAATTAAATACATGTAAAAATTAAAAATAAAAGAAAACAACTGTGCCTGCTTGCTTATTTCATTATTAATACCAACACCAAATGAGTGGCACATTCAAAAACATGATGAGCAACATATACTAAGTTCAATAAATATTGCGATGAAAGTAATTTCTTTTTATAAAATATAACATTTTTCCTTTAAGAAAAAAAACTCTGTCTGGAAATCAGATTATAGATCCAACAATGTAAAAAAAAAATTATAAGACGATGACATTTAAGTGACATTTCTGTATATTAGGCAAAGATAATGCTTTAAAGATAAGACATAATAGAAGACAGTAGAAAGAGCTGAACAAAGTTAGAAAGCTCAGACTTGATTATCTTGTCTAATATTAACACAAACAGCCACAAATCAGCAAGAGAATCTTAAGGATTTATAATTAGTAATGAAACATATAAGGGTATATCATCCTAACCTTAGCACATGTCCTGCTACATTTTTAAAGTAGCACAAGATGATATTCTTAAGTATAGAATGGCTACAATCATACAAAAAGTTTTATTTCTTTTAACACATAGATATTAGGAATGTATTAAATTTTTTTTTTTCCAAGAATTTGAAATAAATAAACCAAAGCTCGGGAAAAGTGTTTAAACATAGAAAAAAAGAAACCAAAACATTAATGCAGTTTCTTGTACGGAACATATTAGGAAGGTATTTATTTACACATCTTCTTTACCCTAATTCTGATGGTGGAAAACCTCAGCAGTTTCTGTCAAGGATTTGTTGTCTATCTTTGCTGGATGAAGTTATAATTAAGACCAGACCAACAGGTATTGTTAAGATTTTGCAATGTTTTAAACGAATAACATGACTACCAGGCAAAAGAAGCAGCCATAGAGTGAACATGTTTAGGAATTTATTATCTATTTGTAAATGTAAAAAAGTCAATGTTACTTGTGATGCATGCATGAAATAGACTTTTTAATCCTAAATAAAAAATTTATATTTTTCAATTTTAAATGAATTATTAAACACATAATTTTCTACTAGGAAAATCTTTACTTGAATACACACAAACACACAGAGACTAGATAAAATATATCCATATAGCCCAAATATATTGGGGGCCAATATATTTCTATTTTGCGTTGGACCAAGCTAAGGCTGTCAGCTGGCCTGAATCCCACAGTATTAATTATCAAATTAAGGATATTCAAAACAACTTCAACATGTTCGTTAAGTCTGGCCATCTAAGAAAAACCATGCTAGCAGACTGAAAGATGCAAAAAGAAGAGTCAGACAACACTAAATGCCTAAAATGTAATGCTAAAATATCATCACTAGCCCTGAACATGACTCTTGCTATTGTTTATATGAAGTGGATCCCTCTAAAATTTAGAGACTCCGCTTTTTTAACAGGAGCTGAGCTAGAAATAAAAAACACTCTCTAAAAAAACTAAATATAAATATTGCTAGAGACAATGTAAACCAAGACCAGAATCCTCAGATATCCAGAATAATGTTATTTAGATAGAGAGGTCTAACATTATATTATTTGGGAAAAATAAGAAACGCTTAGCATAAACTAAGTACAGCATCATAGTGCTCTGGTATGTGTGTGATTTCCTGCACCTGTAGGAAACTGTCAGCTGACAATCATATATTCCAGCTATGATTTTTAGCATATACACAGCTGGTCAAAATAGTTGGTACACCTTTTTTAATGCAGGAGAAACCAAGGAGGGTCACTAACCTTAATCAGAATTAAGCAAGTTAATAAAAAAATCATTCTATGGAAATGAAATCCAGAGATTGCTTTTAAACCCTGTTTCTAAAACATCTTATGAAACAGGCCTGGGCAGAAAAGATGGTACCCTCAGAGTAATATTTTGTTGCATAACCTTTTGAGGCAATTAGGGCAAATAAACAGTTCTTGTAACTGTCACTGAGACTTCTGCTCCTCTCTGCAGGTATTTTGGTCCACTCCTCATTAGCAAACAGCTCCACTTTTCTCAGGTTTTTAGGGGTGCCTTTTCCACATGGTATGTTTCCTTCTACGTTGCTCCTTTCAAAGATGTTCAATAGGATTTAGGTCAGGGCTCATAGAGGGCCAAATCAGCACCCTCCAATGTTTTCCTCATAGCAATTCTTTTAGCTGTGTTTGGGTCATTGTAACAGACCCATGACCTGCGACTGAGACCAAGCTTTCTGACCTTGGGCAGCACATTTCTCTCTAGGATCTCTTGATATTATTGAGATTTCAGAATATAAAGACACCCTGTGCAAGATGAGGCAAGCGGCATCAGAATATAACGGAGCCTCCTCCGTGTTTCAAATTAAAGACAGTGTTCTTTTTCTTGATGTGTCTTGTCAAAAACCTAGACATTTGCCTCAGCAATCCATAGGACATTCTCCCATAATCTTTATGGCTTGTCAACAGGTAGTTTGGCCAATTCCAGTTGGGCTTTTTTATGATTTGTTTCAACACTGACCTCTTTAGTCGTCTCCTTTAAAGTCCACTTTGGCTCATACAATTACGGATGATCCAACATGACACTGATGTTCCTTGATTTTGAAGTTCACCTTTAATCTCTTTAGAAGTTTTTCTGGGATCTTTCCTTTCCTTTAACATGCTTCGCAAAAATGTAGTTCTAATCTCATGAGACAAATTCTTTACTTCCATTCTTCAGGTCCATGTTAAGTGGACCCATCACTAAACACTCACGACACGACACACCATGTCACAAAACAGTACGGTGACTACCTGTAGCCCAATATAAAAGCCAATGACTGATTGCAAGATTGTAGACACTTGTGATACTAAGTGGTGGACACAGCTTGATCTAACATGTCCTTTTAGTCAATGCAGAGAGACTTATATGTCAGAGTCAAAACTACCAACCTCGCTCACTGGCATCATCCACCAGGACGATCTCCACTAGTAGGTGCCTCGGGGAGCGATTGATGACACTGTGAACGGTCCGCAGCAGGGTGCTCCATGCCTCGTTATGAAACACGATGACAATGCTGGTGTTGGGCAAGTCATCTGGGTACATCTTGGTCTTACAGCTAACAGGGAAACACAGACAAGAGAAATCAATATAATAACATCTACAAAAATACAACACTAGCCTTCAAAATAGAACCACCAAAATTCTCCTTAAACAGTATAAATCTTTGTTTGTAGACTAGATCTGAGGAGGTCTGATCAACACAAACCTCAGATGATCTTCCAGAGATCTTATTGATTCATTGCTAATGTTTAAGTGTCACACACCCCAAGACATAATGAGATATCCATTGATCTGAAGGGCTAGATTGATAGCATATAGACCTGCTGAGTGTTCGGCGGGTAGTTAACTTAGAGCATAAGTAGATATACAGTAAGTATTATTTGTAGATAAACAATATATTTTTATCATTAAAGGGGGGGTTACACAGCGAGATAAGCATGCCAATTTCTCCTTAATCTTCCTATTATGACAGGTGCGGATCCTAGATCTAATCCTGCCGTGTTTGATGCGTTCAGTGATGAATTTTCCTCAGAACATCAGGAGTCTGATCGCAAATCAGGGGAATCCAACATGTCATTTAATTTCATACATGATATACCAGGGCTTTCCTAAGTGTTGGGGACACCTCCTCTAGAGGGGACCAGAGCTGTTCGGGGGGATGGGGAGGCAAATGTGGAGGCCTAGTGGTTAGGGCATGGCACTTGGAATCCAGAGGTTTTGAGTTCAAGCCCCACTCCCACAGCCTGCCACTCTGGCTCCCTGAGCAAGACCCTTAACATCACAATGCTCCCCAGGCACTGCCGGTGGCAGCTAACTACTCCCGAAGGGGATGGGTTAAATGCAGAGAGTTAATTTTGTTGCTTTGTACTTGCGACAGTGTAATAGCAATAAAACACTGGTAAATATATATATATAATATAGAACATTTTTATCAGGTAATCCTTGTAATTATTACACACTGTAGCTTTAAGAAAGTAAACTGACTGAGGGAGAGGAGTGTTTTTACTGTTACACAATTGAAGGACACAAAGTTTAAGGTTAAAAAACTAGTTGAAAGACAAACAAAGCAATACTGAAAATATGTTAAATATGTAGAATATGCTAAATATGGTAAATAAAGAAGTCAACTTCATGCAGTTTCAAATGTAGCATCATTAAAGTATTTACATTCACTGTTAAAGGGTGGGTTCAAAATGTGTAAAAAAATAAATAAAAATGGGACAATTGTCTAAAAAACTGAGACACATTAACAACATCAAAAATGTTGTGTGAGTGAATTGCTTTCAACTTATGCTGTTAGAAATAAAAGCAGCACATTAAAGAGTCTGAGAGCAGAGTTTTGCAATACTGCTTCTCTTCAAACGCTGCCACCGGTGCAGAAATATTCTCACTGTGAAGGGGAGGAAAGAAGAAAATTCAGTGCTGACAGCAATGTCATCATGTCCTTGGCTTGATGTGATGTTTGCGAAAGAATAACCCAGAGACTGCCATAAACCAGTCGATGTTATTGAATAAAGAATTCGCTACATTACAGAAGTGGACAGCAAGAGCGCTGTGAATGGCAGGACTAGGAGTTGGGAGAAGTGACGGAGGGTGAAGAAAGCCACCGATGCAGACAGCATTGCTCGTTTGGTCCTGTATATTGGATATGACATCTTAGACTGACAGAACTAGGCCAGGAGGTTGCCTTAAAGGAAAAGTAGTATTGCCCTTCATGGATATATCTTAACATATCTGCAGATTTCTCACTGCATAGCTGCAAAGATTTTGTGGGGCTAAGATGAATACTGTAATAAATCTATTGCAATATTTTTATGGAGAGAACGATTGGTCTAAGCTGGATGGAAAATGTTGGAGCTGAAATCAGCTGACCGTTCACCTTTTCTCTGTCACCTAATCTAAAACAAGAGCAATGGAAAATCAACAACTTCCAACGATGTTTAACTTCAGTCCTCAGGATAAATTGTTGTCCTACTCATGTTTGATCTCCCCCTGATATAACACATCCAAATGTAAAGGATGCTTTAAACCTGGTGGTTAGCATTGCTAAAGGTAAGCAATGAGTTCAATCAGATAAGACGACCCTGTTTTTAACAGGGAGATTTAAAAAATACTTTTAGCTTTTATACGCTGATGCCAGCTTCAAGAAAATGTATGCCTGGTTTTATTACACCTTTAATAAACAAAAAAAAACATTAAGGGCCAAATAAAAGGCTTTTTACGATAAAGGTACACACATGTACTAACAGGACAGGCAGATCTGCATGTCACTTTTGTCACATAGTTTTTTTACAAGTCAATGGATATCACAAAAAATGGGAATAATTATTACTAAATCAATAAAATTAAGAAGTAAAATACCCAAAACCCTTGAAAGAAACTGCCGTAGCTGCGTGTACCAGCTGCCCACATGTCTCTTAGAAAAGACATGTTTCATTTTACATCTCAGCTCTTCCTCCAACTTTTTTTTTTTTTATGAAACACCTTGCTGATAGTAAAAATCAAAATCTAGTTTTTTGGGGTAAATTAATCATTTGTTCTATTCATCCATGGTGTTGGGTTTTAGTTATCCTCAATAAATGAAACCCAATGCCTTGCACTCCCAACACCACAGTAATCCAGTCAGCCATGGTCTAACATTTCTATACTGATAGTTTACAGCGCACAAGACCCAAACAAAAGTATTTAAGCAAAAGTAAAACAACCACATTCGCGCTATTTAACAGTGTATAGCAGTGAAAGTCATAGAGTCAACATTAAAATCATATAAATACAAAAACAGAGAATGAGACAAAATCATAGCATCTAAAGTTCTCCAACACAGAATACAGATTCTTTAAAAAAAATAAAATCTGTTTTTCACGGCTCAGTTGAAATCATCAATATAAGTATAATAGTGTCATTGTATTTTGCCTTAAAGGTATAGTGGAGGATGTTCTTTTTCCCGGTGGATCATCAAAAAGGTAAATGTCAATCATTCTGGTGATATGTTTACATTAGGCTGTCCTACGTGCTACGTGAGTCTGACATATTGGAAAAATTTATTTTGGAAAATAAGCTTATATGAGCAGTGCACACAGCAACTTTTAAACAGAGCATGCACAAGGAGGTATGGGCTTATGCATGCTCTTGCTGCTCCCTCTCTTGAGTGGGAACAGGGTTGTACATGTAGATTCTTTTTATAAATGATGTTTTTTTTTTAAGTGGAGAGGGCGGGTCTTTTCAATAATTTGCGAAAATCCTCCATTATACCTTTAAGAGGACTTCATAAGTATTTCTACCATAGCATTAATTAAAAATCTTTAGCCTTTTAACAAACACCAATCAGTCCTATTCAGTCTTCTCAGTGCAAGGACCTCTTCTATCACCAGACCTTAGGCTACTGAGGGAAACTGTACCTAAACATGATGCGAGCTAATCAAGTTCACCCTTTCCATCTGCTAATCTAAAAAACACATACTAAATCAAGGACTGAAAAAATGCTTCTCACACTTTTTTAACAATGCATATTTTTCTATAAGTACTTTGTCTTGAAAAAAAGGAAAAATAAAAATCTAAAGCCAATTTGTATCCCTAAATTTTCCATGCCCTATAAAGTCTACGACCAGTAGCAGGTGCATTGAAACCTGTCACTAGGCCAGCAGCAATTCTTTGCATTGCGAAAGAAAACACCAAATGACTGGAAAACAAAATATGAGGAGTATTTAAATTTTTTAGGGTGGGGGAGGGTGGGTATTTTAAAACCAGACTCAACCTACTCATTTTCTGTTCTAGCCTTTTACAGCAAGCAATACAATTTGTGTATATCTTCACCCTTAATGACATTGATAACCACCTGAAATTATTACAGCATGACCAGCAAGCTTTGCTTATAAAGTGGCAGCTTAGTATTAAAACATCTGCCATTATAACCAAAGCAACAACAGTCACCCATTTGGCCCTTTATCTGAACAATCTTATTCCTCTGGTCACAAGTTGTGGCTCCTGGAAATACCTGACGATAAGTTTGTAGATGGATCTATTAAGTTATAGCTTTATATTCAAACAATAAAAGAGCACAATGTCTACACTGCTGCAGATGCTGTACAGTTTTCACTGTACACTCAGTCATACTTGAGACGTTTCGCACAGAATAGTACCATACTCAATCAAAATATCTGCAATGCACTGTTACTAGAAAAAAGTGTCAGATTGAAAAAAAATAAGTGTTAAGTCGTAGAGAAGCATTTCCGAATTCTCCCGATTGGTGCCCAACTTTACATGAGTAAATAAAGTGAATGTGATTGGTCGTCTATCAAAGGGGGTGGGATTGTTGTGGTGGAAGGTTCGCAAGCAAGTTTGGTTGTGGCCGGTTTTGTAGGAAGCATTTTGGTAACCAGTTAGCAACTTAGTGCTAGTAGGTTCCCAATGGGAAATTACATTGGGACCAAGTAGCACTTAGAAACGACACTGTCAAGGAACGCTATGGATAGTGGAAACATGCAAGAGGAGGAGAGTTTTGTCTCGGAGGTTTCGGATGAGTCTCCTATGTCATACGTTTTTTATTTAGAGGAGGAAAGCGGGGACAAGTTGTTGTGAAAGAAGACGCCAGGGTGGCAGAAGCTTCACTTGATGTAGAAGGCGTAAAGCCGTACATGTTTGAGCCCTTGCCCCACAACGCTGCCAGTTCTGTTAGCTCTACGACTGCCGAAAACACAGACGTCCATCCCCACGAACACTGGGACGTAACTCAATGATAAAGTAAATGATTCTTATTTCATATTTCAATCGTTTCAATCAGTCGTATATTAGCTGTGACAAATGAATCAAGATGCTATGACCGAAAAAATTTGATTGACAGAAGACGAATTCAGGCGTACAAGCTAACGTATAACTAACTAGCCTGCAGAAGATAACGAGAAAAAACAAAACACAGATTTTAAGACAGGATTTTTTTAAATAGATATTTTCTAACTTTTGGGACAATTTAGTCTAATAAAGAGTACATTTATATAGATGTTTAAGCCAGAATGATTAGACATTTAAATATGACTTCCCTACGACTTTACAGGTATAATGAAGGAAGTTCTTTTTCCAGGTGGATAATCAAAATAGGTGGTCTCCTAATTGTCAATACTTCTGGTGATATATAATTATATAAGGCCATCCTATGTGCTCATCTACATTTTCACTTACTAGTCGTAAGTGAAAACGCAAATCTTCCTTACGAAAGTAAGCTTGTATGAGCGATGCAAACAACGAGCGATGCAAACAGCAACGTTTAAACAGAGCATGCACAAGGAGAAATGGGCTTGTGCATGCTCTCGTATACTTTTAAAAGTCGTTTCCTGTTAGGAGCGGGAACAGGGTTGTGCATGAGCATTTTTTTTTCTAAGTGGGAAGGGTGGGTCTTTTCAAAAGTTCACAAAAATCCTCCACTTTACCTTTAAACATTCACTTAAACATTGTATTATTCAAATGACTTAAACATGAATTAAAATGACATCGAAAGATTTTAATTAATTTTGCAGACAGCATCGCTATCTGCAGCCCTTTCTCCTAACGGAAAGTGTGAGCATGTTCCTGGGTTGATTTCCCTGTATAGATTTGTTGCAGCAGCTGTTTAATGGGGAGAACAGTAATGTGATTCCCTGCAGTCATGTGGAAGCAGAAGCTTACACACCCATCCAATCTGACATCTGGTAGACTCCTGTTGAGGGCAATCATGTCGCTGGCCATCAGGTTGAACTGGTTGATCTTAAAAAGCTCCTTCATCTTCTCCTGGTCGTCTTTTGGGATGTTTACTGCTTTTCCCATCTCGCCTGGACCCTCGTTGCTCCGAGATATCACTGCTGTAAGAGTACAGAAATGTTTTTGTCAATATTAGGGCACTAAGTTAAACATAAAAGTAAAATAAAATTTGAAGCAAATGCATACTCCCATTGCAGTTTTTTGCTTTTGTGACTCTTTGTATGACATGTTCTTATTGAGATTTAGGAAAAAGTAAGAGATTTAGGATTCTGCCAGTTTCTGCTAGTTTAAAAGCAATAAATTGTCCGCATATTTACCTATAACCCTCCTGAGAACACTCTTTCTAACATTTCTGCCTGCAGAATATCAGCAGATTAGTGTTGCTTCTACAGCACAGTGTCAGCTCCCTTCAACAAAGGTAAATAACATCCAATGGATTTATGACGCAGCTCTCCCCCACTCTCCCTCAAATAATCCCTCAAAACAGAGGCTGTGGCTTCCATGAAACAGGACAACATTGGACACTGGCTGCACGCCTTACAGTTAAGAGGATTCCATAGAAAAAGAATTTGTTGAAATGGACTGATGCTGGCCATATTGTTAACCTCAGCTGAACCTGCTCTTTTTTTCAGTGTTGATTGCAGCACTTCTTTGCCGATTACAACCTATCTGTATGTACGAAAACACGAAAGACATCTCAAGAGATTCCCAAACGGTGAAAACATTCAGCAATCAGTGGCAATGATGTTACCCTTTTTTAAAAATTACAGACAGATTAACAGTGGATTGACAGATTGGGTGGGTGGCACCCTATTGCTCAGCACATTCCAGGAACCTAAAGATACAGGTGCTGGTCATAAAATTAGAATATCATGAAAAAGTAGATTGATTTAAGTAATTCCATTTAAAAAGTGAAACTTGTATATTATATTCATACATTACATACAAACTCATATATTTCAGATGTTTATTTTGTTTAATTTTGATGATTACAAATGACAACAAATGAAAATCTCAAATTCATCATATCAGAAAATTAGAATATTGTGAAAAGGTTCAAAATTGATGGCCCCTGGTGCCACACTCTAATCAGCTAATTAACTCAAACCACCTGCAAAAGCCTTTAAATGGTCTTTCAGTCTAGTTCTATAGGCTACACAATCATGGGGAAGACTGCTGACTTGACAGTTGTCCAAAAGACGACCATCGACACCTTGCACAAGGAGGGCAAGACACAAAAGGTCATCGCTAAAGAGGCTGGCTGTTCACAGAGCTCAGTGTCCAAGCACATTAATAGAGAGGCGAAGGGAAGGAAAAGATGTGGTCGAAAAAAGTGTACAAGCAAGAGAGATAACCGCACCCTGGAGAGGATTGTGAAACAAAACCCATTCAAAAATGTGGGGGAGATTCACAAAGAGTGGACTGCAGCTGGAGTGAGTGCTTCAAGAACCACCACACACAGACGTATGAAAGACATGGGTTTCTGCTGTCGCATTCCTTGTGTCAAGCCACTCTTGAACCACAGACAGCGTCAGAAGCGTCTTGCCTGGGCTAAAGAGAAACAGGACTGGACTGCTGGTGAGTGGTCCAAAGTCATGTTCTCTGATGAAAGTAAATTTTGCATTTCCTTTGGAAATCAAGGTCCCAGAGTCTGGAGGAAAAGAAGAGAGGCACTTCATCCACGTTGCTTGAAGTCCAGTGTAAAGTTTCCACAGTCAGTGATGGTTTGGGGTGCCATGTCATCTGCTGGTGTTGGTCCATTGTGTTTTCTGAGGTCCAGGGTCAACGCAGCCACATACCAGGAAATTTTAGAGCACTTCATGCTTCCTGCAGCTCACCAACTTTTTGGAGATGCAGATTTCATTTTCCAACAGGACTTGGCACCTGCACACAGTGCCAAAGCTACCAGTACCTGGTTGAAGGACCATGGTATCCCTGTTCTTAATTGGCCAGCAAACTCTCCTGACCTTAACCCCATAGAAAATCTATGGGGTATTGTGAAGAAGAAGATGCAATACACCAGACACAACAATTCAGAAGAGCTAAAAGCCACTATTAGAGCAACCTGGGCTATCATAACACCTGAGCAGTGCCACAGACTGATCGACTCCATGCCACGCCGCATTGCTGCAGTAATACAGGCCAAAGGAGGCCCAACTAAATACTGAGTGCTGTACATGCTCATACTTTTCATGTTCATACTTTTCAGTTGGCCAACATTTCTATAAATCCTTTGTTTTTATTGGTCTTCAGTAATATTCTAATTTTCTGATATGATGAATTTGGGATTTTCATTTGTTGTCATTTGTAATCATCAAAATTAAACAAAATAAACATCTGAAATATATGAGTTTGTATGTAATGTATGAACATAATATACAAGTTTCACTTTTTAAATGGAATTACTGAAATCAATCTACTTTTTCATGATATTCTAATTTTATGACCAGCACCTGTAATTTGTTGATGAGTTCTTAAATATCTTTACCACAGATCTCAATAAATATGAGGTGTGTTGCATCAATATTTATAGGTCTTGTGAGAGCTTCATTATTGCCTCAGCTGGACTGTCAAGATGAACAGCAGTCTATATGCAGATTTTCTGCTGAGTCGTTTATAACAAGGCCTCAAACATCCTGCAGCCATGTTCGGTCTCATTTACTTTACAGAAAAGGGTCTGTGTAGCCGAGCACAGCTGGAGGCTCCTTCATAGGCTAAATTTATGATCTTCTGCTCCTTTAACCAAAGTGCTCTCCCTCCTGCCTGCAGGTCTGACACCCCTGACATTATATTATATATAACAGAAATTCCTCGACTATGCAAAATGACAAGATAAGGTTCATCACATAAATTAATAGTTTAGACAAAAGGAAAACATACTGAGTTTCCGTTGCTAAAGATAATGCATTTACATTTAATCATTTTATTCTTAAATATAAATGAATGTCTATTTTCTTTGTCATTAAATAATGACTGCCAATAAAGAAAACATATCACTAGCATATTGTTGACTGCTAAGATATATGTTTTTAAAACAGAAAAGAAATGTCAGTCGGTCATCATTAAACATTTCATGTGTTGATGTCATTGACAGTAACAAAAGTTGCAGGAACTGCTCCAAAAGTGTACACAATATTTACGTATACGTAAGCTAGTTTTGTGAGTAACATACTTTTGTAAATGCAGTTGCTGTTAGAAATAGGTCAGCACTACAGATGGTGAATTACAACAGAAATAAATCTCTAAATAAATAAGACCAACAACTAAACAATGTAGCACAGCTATTCCAGCATACTCAATGGGTGACATGTCTTGTGAGTCTGCCGGCCAAGAACTGGGTTGTTTTCATCTACCAAGAACTATGTACAGATCAGCATGGGGCCGTACATTATCCTGCTGCAACATGAAGTGATACTCTTGGATGTATGGCACAAAAATGGGCCTCAGGATCTCGTCAAGGTATCTCTGTGCATTCAAAATTCCATCAATAAAATGCACCTGTGTTCTTTGTCCATAATAGACGCCTGCCCATACCATAACCCTACCTCCACCATGGGCCACTCGATCCACAGCATTGACATCAGAATGCGGCTCACTCACACAACGCAACACACGCCGTCTCTCACCTGCCTTGAACAGTTTAAACTGGGATTCACCCATGAAAAGAACACCTCTCCAACGTGCCAGATGCTAGTTAATGTGAGCAGTTGCCACTCTAGTCGGTTACAATGAAAAACTGGAGTCAGGTGGAGACCCCAATGAGGGCAACGAGCATGCAGATGAGCTTCACTGAGATGGTTTTTGATAGTTTGTGCAGAAATTCTTTGGTTATGTAAACCAATTGTTTCAGTAGCTGTCTCAGAGGCTGGTCTCAGACGATCTAGGAGGTGAACATGCTGGATGTAGAGGTCCTGGGCTGGTGTTACACATGTACTGCCAAATTCTCTGATACACCTTGGGAGACGGCTTATGGTAGAGAAATGAACATTCAATACATGAGCAACAGCTCTAGTTGACATTCCTGCTGTCAGCATGCCAATTTCAGACTTCCTCAACTCTTGTGGCATCTGTGGCATTCTGCTGCTATAAAACTGCACCTTTCTGAGTGGCCTTTTATTGTTGGCAGTCTAAGGCACGCCTGTGCACTAATCATGGTGTCTAATCTGCATCTTGATGTGGCACACCTGTGAGGTGGGATGGATTATCTCAGCAAAGGAGAAGTGCTCAATATCACAAATTTATACTGGTTTGTGAACAATACTATAGGGAAATGGTGATATTGCTAAAAAAGTTTAAAATCTTTGATTTCATCTCATACAAAATGGGAGCCAAACCAAAAGTGTTGCATTGATATTTTGTTGAATGTATGTTCTTCGTGTTCAGTCAAGCATAATTTTTCCCTTTCGTACCCATTTCAAAGCAAATTGAAGGCTTCAATCATGGAAACAATACAGAGTTCAAAAACATCTAATTTGCTTCTACATTTTAGATAAAAAAAAGATTCTAACTATTAACTAATTACTTCAATTCTCCAAGAACTGAGTTACTAACCTTAGATGTTTTTCTTTGTGAAATCACTGCTAAATAAATAGTAAATTACTGCAAGCAAGTATTGTGCAGTCCAAAAGAGAAAACAGTGAAACATTCTTTACATTTATTCTTTGAAAATAACAGAATTTGAACAAAGGGAATAAATATTACAAATTACTATTTTATAGTTGTGTATACAATATATGCCACAATTGCCTCTGCTTGGATGGATACAAAATGCAACTTACAGGTCAATAGATTGTTAAAAGATGTTAATAGATGGGTTTATTGCAATGCTTGATAAACCAAGAGACTTGATCCAACCATCATGCAAACTAACTACAGTGTACAAGTTTACTTTCTTTAACAGCATCAGCCAGAATGGCCAGCAGCTCTACCACATTCCAACTTAAAAGCAGATTAGTAAGCCTCTTATAAAACGTGGCAACCTGCTCTCTTGAGGGCATGCGAGGAATCAGGCTTTGCTAAAGATGAACTCTGCACATATGATCTCAGAAAACATAATCTTGAAAAAAAAAAAAGAAAAAAAAAACATAAGATTTTCTTCAGG